CTAAAATATATAGAGAACTGAATCAAATTTATAAGAATACAAGTCATTCCCCAATTGATAAATGGTCAAAGGATGTGAACAGGCAGTTTTCAGAGGAAGAAATTAAAGCTAAGTCATATGAAAAAATGCTCTAAATCACTATTAATTAGAGAAATGCATATCAAAACAACTCTCAGGTACCACATCACACCTATCAGATTGACTAACACAACAAAATAGGAAAATGATAAATGCTGGAGAAGATGTAGGAAAATTGGAATACTAATGCATTGTTGGTGGAGTTGTGAACTGATCCAACCACTCTGGAGAGCAATTTGGAACTATGCCCAAAGGGCTATAAAAATGTGTATACCCTTTGACCCAGCAATACCACTTCTAGGCCTATATCTCAGAGAGATCATAAAAATGGGGAAAGGACCCACATGTACAAAAGTATTTATAGCAGGTCTTTTTGTGGTGGCCAAGAATTGGAAGTTGAGGGGCTACCCATCAGCTGGGGAATGGCTGAGCAAGTTGTGGTATATGAATGTAATGGAATACTATTGTGCTATAAGAAATGATGAGCAGATGGATTTCAGAAAAACCTGGAAAGACTTACATGAACTGATGCTGAGTGAAGTGAGCAGAACCAGGAAAACATTGTACACAGTAATAGCTGCATTGTGCTATGACTAACTTTGACAGATTTATCTCTTCTTAGCAATGCAAGGCTCTAAGACAACTCCAAAAGACTCATGATGGAAAATGCTGTCCACATCCAGAAAAAGAACTATGGAGTCTGAATGTAGACTGAAGTAGATTATTTGCTCGCTCTCTCTCTCTCTCTCTCTCTCTCTTCTCTCTCTCTCTCTCCCTCTCTCTCTCTCTCTCTCTCTTTCTATTTGTTTCTTCTTTCTCGCGGTTCCTCCCATTGATTCTAATTCTTCTTACAGCAAGATTAATGTGAAAATAGGTTTAACATGAAAGTTTGTGTAGAGCCTATATTAAATTTCACCCCATCTTGGAGTGGGGAGAGGGAGGGATGGGGAGAAAATTTGGAACTTAAAATCTTTCTTTTTTTTCTTGCTTTTAAACAAAATTAATTTTTGAACATTTTAAACAAAATTAATTCAAAATTTTAAACAAAATTAAAAAATGAAATTAGTGTAGCCAAAATTAGAAGGAAAATAGGAAACCAAGAAAAAAATCACAGTGTTTTTCTGATAAAGACCTCATTTTCATTTTTTTATTTTTTAAAATTTATTTTTAGTTTTCAACATTCACCTCCATAAGCTTTTGAGTTCCTAATTTTCTCCCCCTCCCTGCTCTCCCCCCTCCCCAAGATGGAGTGCAATCTGATATAGGTTCTACATATATATTGCTATTAAACATTTTCACATTAGTCATGCCATAAAGAAGAATTTGAACCAATAGGAGGAACCACAAGAAAGAAGAAACAAAATAAAACAGAAGAAAAAAAAAGCAAATAGTATGCTTTGATCTGTCTCCAGACTCCACAGTTCCCTCTCTGGATGTGGATAGCCATTTCCACCATGAGTCCTTTGGAGATGCTTTAGATCCTTGAATTGCTAAGAAGAGCTAAGTCTATCAAAGTTAGCCATAGTATAATGTGGATGTTACTGTGTACAATGTTCTCCCAGTTCTGCTCACTTCATTCAGCATCAGTCCATACAAGTCTTTCCAGGTTTTTATGAAGTCTGCCTGCTCATCATTTCTTATAGCACAACAGTATTCCATTACATTCATATACTACAACTTGTTCAGCCATTCCGCAATTGATGGGCATCCTCTCAATTTCTAATTCTTTGCCACCATAGAAAGAGCTGTTATAAATATTTTTGTACATGTGGGTCCTCTTCCCATTTTTGTGATCTCTTTGGGACACAGCCCTAGAAGTGCTATTGCTGGGTCAAAGGGTATGCGCATTTTTTATAGTCCTTTGGGCATATGGAACTTAAAATCTTATGGAAGTGAATATTGAAAGCTAAAAATAAATAAATAAATTTTTAAAAATATTTTTATAGAGGTCATTGACAGCTTTGGAGAGAGCAGTGGGGTTAGTTGAGCTTAAGATTTCTACATGACATCCAGTTTAAAATATCCAATAAGCAGATGGAGAGGTGAGACTGGAGATCAGGAGAGAGATTAGGGTTAAATACCTCGATTTGAGAATCATCAGTTCAGAAACAACAATTGAATCCATGGGAACTAATGAGATCACCAAGCAAAATAACCCATAGCCAATCAGAGGCTCCTCTTAATCACATGGTTAGCAGACAAGAACTGGAAGGAAGGAAGGAAGGAAGGAAGGAGGGAAGGAAGGAAGGAAGGAAGGAAGGAAGGAAGGAAGGAAGGAAGGCAGGCAACATTTATTAGATACTTACTAAGTGCTAGTCACTGTGCTTAAACACTACTAATATCTCATTTGATGCTCACAACAACTCTGAGAGGTAGATACTGTTATTATCCTTACTTGAGTTGAGGAAACTGAGGGCAACAGAAATTAAATGACTGGCCCAGGGTCACACAGCTAGTGAGTGTCTGAGGCTGGATTTAAACTCAACTCTTCCTTAATCCAGGCCCAGTATTCCATCCATTATGCCACATGGTCTCCTTGGGGAGCCAAGGATTCTGCATATGCTCATAAGAGTTATTGTGCTCATTGGACAATCCCCCTTTATACTGAGTATAGTTTCAAACTGTTTTCCAATTCCAGTTTCCAAAATGGTCTGGTCAATACACAGTTCCACCAACAGTCCTCCCACAGCCCCTTCAACAACAGCCATTCTTTTGCCATGTTGGCCAATCTGATTAGCAAGGTGGAAACTTAGAGTTATTTTAATTTGCATTCCTTTTTATTAGTTATTTGGGAGTATTTTTCATTTGGTGCATAATCCAGTGTTTCTTCTTTTGAAAACTGCCTGTTCATATCCTTCAACCATTTATATATCTTAGCATGCTTCTCATTACATATTTTTATCATTTCCCTATATTTCAGATATTAGAGAAATTTTCTATAAAGATTTTTCCCCAGTTAACTACTTCCTTTCTAATTCTCATTATATTGATTTTGTTTGTGCAAAAGGTTTATAATTTTATGTCAGTCATAAATGTTCATTTTAGCTTTTGTTATTCTGTCCATCTTTTGGTCCAGTACTCTTCACCATAGCTGAGAAAGTATTTTCTTTGCTGCTTTTCTAGTTTGTTTGATATGAACTTTTACAGCAAAGTCCTGGATCCGTTTGGAGTTTGTTATGGTATATGGTGTGAGGTATTGGTTTAAAACCAATTTCTGCCAAACTTCAACCTACCACATCACCTACCCCACCCCAGCATCTCTGAAATTTTGCCCTGGGACACAATCCCACAATCCCTTTACACAATGTAAAGAGATATAGAGGGGCAGGCTTTCCTATGTATACTCTTCACACTGTCATTTGAACCTGAAGTGTGAGATTTGTTTTATTGTACAGTCTCCACTGGGTGAGGTCATAGGGCAAAAACCAGAAGTGTTGGGGCAGGTGATGTGGTAGGGAGGGCCATGGATGAAAAAAAGTTTCTAATGGACTTTGTCCAACCATCAGTGACTCTTCCAGGTTGGGTGGAGGGTGAGGATTTAGAAAGAAGGTATTCCTCTGGGTGTTTCTTCAATGCATCATATTAGGGAGGATGGAAGAGAATAATTCCAGCAGGCAAGCCTCAGGAATCTATTCCTTACTGTGTTGCAGTTCCAGATGATACAAACACACACACATACACACATATGTATGTGTGTATGTATATGTGTATATATGTGTATATATACACATATACATACATATGTGGATTTAAGTTTATGTTTTCAATGAGTGAAAAATGAAAATCCATTTTCTTCTATTCCCCCTCCCCCACTGTGGAAAAAAAAAAGAAAAGAAAAACAAAATCCTTATAAAAATATATATATACGTAGTCAAACAAAACAAATTCCTACATTGGCTCTGTCTGAAAAACATATGTCTCATTCTGCACCCTGAGTCCATCAGGTGGTGGGTAGCATGTTTCATTGTTGGTCCCCTGGAATAGCGCTCTTTTCAAGAAGGCAAGGGTTTGGATATGTGGACATAAGGTAGCCAGTGTGGTTAGTTTGTGTCCTGAGCTGGGCTAATTATTCCTGAAGGAGGTCCCCCCCTCCCCCAGGAAGTCTTCCCGAACTACTCCATCTCATCCTGATCCTTCCTTTAAGCTGTCCAAATAAGGAACAAGTTGCCTTGCTGGGTTGTTCTTTTTCCCATCCCCACCCCAGCCCAGGCCTTCAAACAAAGGCTGGCTGACCACTTATTGCTATAATAAATCAGATTGTTTTCAAGTACATGTTGGAACAAATGGTCACTGATGTCCCCTCAGCTCCGAGATTCTGTGATCTTGTGAGATTCAATCACATAATCAGCCACTTGACCACGCAACATTTTTTTTCCAGTGGAATTCTATATAATTTGAATATTAATAAGACACATTTAAATATTAATAAAACATAGATAGAACCAATGTCCTTTCATCTGTTCTGTAGCAATGAAAGTACTAATTGGCATTATTACTGGAAACTCCCAGAAATGCATCTATCACCATACTGGTAAAGATGTAGACATTCAAAATGGCAGCATCATACCAGACAATAACAACGTAAGTGGATTTTTAAATGATCCTGGAATTCAATTCAACAAGCATTTGTTAAGTGCCAACTACGGGTCCAGCACAGCACTCAATCAAACCCAGTGGTTTTTTCTATTCTATCAGCCTGGTGATCACCTCCAGGCTACCTGATCAGTTTCACGAGGTTATGATGATGCTCGATGACTTTAACGAGGAGACTTGAACACAACCTCCATGGTTCCCTCTCGACCCAAAACCGATGGTGAACACTTCAAGTCGACTGGCATTTGTTTTCTTGAGCTCTGGGGCACCAAACATTAGAGCTGACAAAGACCTATGATATTATCAAACCCATTCTTCTCACTTCACAGATAAGAAAACTGAAGCCCAGAATTGGAGTGTGACTTGTTCCAAGTCCAACAGACCAAGGTGAGAAACCAGGTCCCCTGATGATCTTTTGGTTTTTTTGGTCTTTTTTCGAGGCAATTGGGGGTAAGTGATTTGCCAGGGTCAATAAATGTCAAGTGACTAAGGTCAGATTTTAACTCAGGTCCTCATCATTACAGGGCTGGTGCTCTATCCGCTTTGCCACTTAGCTGTACCACTCCTTACCATGATCTTTCAACAGCTCTTCTGACTCCTCTGAAGCAATCAATCAATATAACAAGTCTGCTATGCAACAGTCACTGGGCTAGACACTAGGAAGAAAAAGCCCAAAGTGATACAGTCCCTGCCCTCAGAGAGCTTCCATTCAAATGGGGGCCACGACATACACAAACATACAAAGAGAGAAAACACACACAAAGTAGATGTAAAGGAACTTCTGGGGGGAGGCACTGGGGGAACCAGAAAAGGATGTTCTGCAGACAGTGGTGCTTGAGATGAGTCATCATTTTCATGACAAATAAACACATCACTTACTGATGTGTGCACATATTTATAGTCAATCCATACTGTCTTATGCTCTGCTAATTGTTTTGTTTCTTGTCTCACTAATTGGTCTGTGAGCTCCCTAAGGTCTACAAGCACTTATTAAGCACTTAACATCAGAGCTGTAACTAGGGGGAGGTGAGCAGAGTTTTGCTCCAGGCCGTGGAAATTGAAAGGGTGTTGACAACATTGTCTTGAGACATAACTTCCTCCCATCCACTGGTAGCCACTGCCCTTCCTTCCAAGCTCAGGCTCTACTCAGCAGCAGCAGCAGCTCTGCCTAGTAGCTAGAAACCTCCTGGTATCCTGGAGCAAGCACCCTCCTGCTTGCCTCTCTCTTGCTCTGAGTACAAAAGTCCTAGTCATGGCTTGGCTTATTAAGGCAGTATGCTGGACGCTAGAGGGAAAACCAGTTCTGGCCTCATGGAGCTTACATCCTACTGAGGGTTCCCCTTCTGCTCCTTTTGCCTTCTCAACAAAGATTTTCTGAATTGATTTAGCCTTTCCTCTCAACCCCTGTCCCCTACCTCACTTTGCTAATTCAGTTGCTCCAAAGGCAGCAGGGTGTGTTATCCAATCTCCTCTTTTTACAGTTGAGGAAACAGACCTAGGGAGGAAAAGTTATTTACTCATGGTCACACAGGTGATAAGTATAAAGGACGTGAATTCAGCTCCTCGTACCTTCCAGCATCCTGTCTATTAAACTACATTGCCTCTCAGTTTGAGGAATGAGAGAGACGACAAAGTCAACCAGTCCCCTATGTGATTCTATGGCTCGCACAGAGATGTGTTGTTCAGTTGTGTCCAACTCTTTGTGCTCCCATTTGGGCTTTTCTTGGCAAAGATAGTGGAGTGGTTATTTCCTTCTCCAGCTCATTTTACAGATGAGGAAACTGAGGGTTAAGTGACTTGCCCAAGATCACACAGCTAGTGTCTGAGGCTGGATTTGAACTCAGATCTTCCTGACTCCAGGCTCATTGCTCTATCCACTGTACCATAAATATGCATTGATTAATTAATTAATCAATCAACACAAATGTATTAAGCACAGAACAGTGGAAGGAATATAAACTCTGGAGTGAGAGGATCTGGGTCCAGTTCCCTCTTCTGAGGCTTGCAATCTGTGTGACCTTAGACAAAGCACTTGACCTTCATAGGACTCAGTTTCCTCATCTGGAAAAGAAGAAGATTGGAGTTGACAGCCTCTAAGTTCCCTTTCCTCTCTAAATCTATGTTCCCATGATCCTGCACTGTGCTAAGCACTGGGGATAAAAAGACAAAATCAGACAGTGGCTGCCCTCAAGGAGCTTACATTCTAATGGGAAAGACAACATATCACACACACAGATGAAGACAAAGTAATCTGGAAAGAAACTCCTCAAAAAAGAGAACCCCATCTTACACTTCTTTCTAGCCACAACAGCACCTGTGCTTCTTACCCTCTCTGAGTCACTCTCTCCTCTGAGACTCAGTTTCCTCATCTGTAAAATTGCAACAATAAGAGCTGCACCTAGCACGGTGCCTAACTCATGGTTGTTGATTGACATATGAATGACAGTGATTGTTATTCATTAGTATTATCATTAACAAATTTCCCAGTGCAGTAGAGTCCAAAGAGCATTGAAAAGGAATTCCAAGACCTGGCTCCAGCCTATGCTAGCTTACAACCTACATACACTACGAGACTGTAGGCCAATCACTTCCCTCCCTGGGCCCAGCTCTCCTCTTTTGTAAAGGAAAGAGTTAGATGAGATGATTTCTGAGGTTGCTTCAAGCTCTAAGATTCTGCATCTTTTGAGGGGAAGTGCTACATAAGTACATACCAGATATGATAGAGACATAGAGAGACTGAGAGACAGAGAGATTGAGACACAGAGAAAAATGAAGGCTAACCCTGGGGTTCACATTCCGTCTCCAATACATACTGACTGTGTGACCCTGGTTAAGTCACTTAGCCTCTCATTAATTCTCTAAGACTATAAATTGCTGAGAAGGTTCCAGGGGCCCTACAAACTTTGGGAGAGGGAGTTTCCTGGCCTGGAGTTCCTCATTCCAGTGAAATCATAGGTCCTGTCCTAATCAAGATATCAAATAAATACAAGGCAATTTGAGAGGGTAGGCTCTAGCTTATGAGAGAGTACTATGGCCTCGGTTTCCTTATATGTAAAATGAGGGGAGTTGGATTAAGAAGCTCTGATGCTCGAACCCCACCCTGAGGATGTATGGCCCTTCCCCCACATCTATTTTCTCTGTAGTGAAGTGGGGGAGGGCCAGCCGGGAGCGAGCCCCTCCCTCCTCTATGCCAGAGACAGCCCACTGGGGGCCCACAGCAGCTGTGGGAGCTGAGAACAGGCTGGCCAGGGAGAGCGAGGCTGCCTGGCAGTGGGTGGGACCCAAACTGCTTTCTTCCCATTCCCCCCTCCCATCCCTCCCCCCACCCCTGGCTGCAAAAACCTTCCCAACTCCTAGGCAAGGCCCCTTCTTCTCACTCGTCTCTCATTCACCTGCCCATCTTCCTCTCCTCCTCTCTCCCTTTCTATCCAAACTCATAATTAATCGCTCAAGGCAAAAGTAATGAATGTTAATTGGCCATCTGTAGGAAGACTAATTAAAATCTACCACGCTGGGGTTTCAAACATACCTATAGCAACGGAGTGAATTGGGAATGAGACGCGGAGGGATGGAGGTAACAGCTGAGAGGCTGCAAAGCCCCCTCCGCCTAGGTGTGATCGAGGGAGGAGGGAAGGAGGAGGAGGGAGCGAGGAGGACGGAGGAGGGAGAGAGGCGGGAGAAGGGAGGGAGGGGAGAGGAGGAAAGGAAGAAGAAGACGGAGGCAGGAAGGAGTGAAGGAGGAAAGGAATGCAAAGAGAGAAAGGAAGGAGGGAAGGAAAGAGGGATTAAGGAGGGAAAGGGAGAAGGGAGAGAGAGAGAGAGAGAGAGAGAGAGGGAGAGAGAGAGAGAGAGAGAGAGAGAGAGAGAGAGAGAGAGAGAGAGAGAGAGAGAGAGAGAGAGAGAGAGAGAGAAGCCAGACAGACCTGAAGCACTGCAACCCCCATAGAGATCCATGTTCCCAGAAGACATAAAGACTATTGGGGACCCAGCAGCACCCCACAGAGCTGGGTGGAGTCAGTTACGGTCCAGAAAGAGATGGGTTTGAGTTTGAAAAACATATGCTGCCCCCACCCTGCTTCTCTCTCCCCCTCCTTTCCTCCTTTTCCCTTCCTCCCCCTCTCCCTCCTCCTTTCTCCCTTCCTCTCCTCCCCTCCTCCCTCCCCCTCTCCCTTCCCCTCTCCCTCCCTCTCTGACTAACACATGGCCCCCCTCCCATACTAAGTGCTTGGTAAACCTCTATACAAATGCAAACTAGTGTTACACAATCGTATAGTTCCTCCCCTCTACATACTTTCTCCCCACAAATGGGGACACAGGCACATTATGTCCACAGGACAGACACATACCTGGTACCTACCCACATATGAACACACTACTCCTTTTCTCCTCCCCCAGATAAATATATAGGTGTACTCAGGACTTATTCCTCAAACCCATTCCAATTAAACAAGCTTTTATTTTGCAGTTGTGTCTGACTCTTCATGATCCATTTTGAGGTTTTTCTGGCAAGGATACTGGAGTGGTTTGCCCTTTTCTTCTCCAGCTCATTTGATATATGAGGAAACGGAGGCAAACAGAGTTAAGAGACTTGCCCAAGGTCATACAGCTTGTATCTGAGGCCAACATCAGGAAGATGAATCTTCCTGACTCCAGGCCCAGCACTTGGTACACTTTGCCACCTAGATGCCCCCATTGAGGATGCTTTATTAAGTACCCACTGTGCCAGGCACTGTGCCAGATTCTGGGAATACAAAGACACCAAAAGGGAAACAGTTCCTGTCTACAAGAAATTAATGGAGGGATGGAAAGATGGATGGATGGACAGATGGATGGATGGATGAATGAAAAGCATTTATTAGGTATTTCCTCTGTGCTGAACTCTAGAATACAAAACCAAAGGTCAGACAGTCCTTACTGTAGAGAAGCTTCCATTCTACTAAAGGGTATGCACATGCCCAGAGAATCAGACACCATATTGAGGAAGGAGAAAGCATTAGACAGTAGGAGAACCAGGAAAGATGTCCAGGCAGCAGTGGCACCTGGCTGGACTAGGGACACACAGAGACACGCGCACACACACACACACACACACACACACACACACACACACACACACACGCACATGCCACATGTTCTCTCTCCTTCCCTTCGCCCACATGCCCATACATAACTCCCTGAGAGAAGACTCCATGTAGTGGCTAGAACTCTGGCCTCTGAATCAGGAAGAGGTGGAATCCTCCCTCAGCCACTTGCTAGCTGTGTGACCCTAGGCTAATCACAGCTTCTCTGGGCCTCAGTTTCTTCATCTGTAAAAGCAGAGGGTTGGATTCAGAGGTCCCTTCCAGCTCTAAAGCTGTGGTCCCCAGCCACACACACAGTACAACGTGTGCTCACTCTCCAATTTCCTTGAACCCTGATTGAGTGCACGCGCGCACACACACACATACACACTCCTGTTCACACCCACCCCCCCAGGCGGAGACGCATATCTCTCCCCCTTTTCTGCAAGTATATTACACGGTGGCACACCAAAACATACCGTGTCACACTAAGACGTCACTGTAAGAGTGCACAAGCCCACACTTACACACATCTATCTCTGCCACTCCAACACTGCCATCCATCCATTCATGGTTGTGCACAAAGCCCTGTTATACACTCATGCAAGTTACAGGCTTACACAGTTACATACACACGGGTAAATACGCCATTATACACAGGCTCATGGGAGTTCTACCCAGCCAAGAACATACAGATATTGGGACTCAGTCCATAAGTGCTAGCCCCCTACCCCTCGTCAGTACAGAAAATGCTGGGCCTGGAGTCTGCAAGACCTGAGTTCAAATCTGGCCTTAGATACTAGCAATGTGACTCTGGACAAGACACTTAATCCAGTTGTCTCAGTCTCCTCATCTGGAAAATGGAGATAATCATAGCACCTACAAATAAGATCATTTTTTTAAAGCACTCAGCATAGTACCTGACACACAGTAGGTGCCATATAAAGGCTTGTTTCCTTCCCCGCCCCCTTCTCCTCCAAATCTTCATAGAATCATAGATTTCTAGCTGAAAGAGACCTTAGAGAGTACCCAGTTCAACCTGCTCCTTTCTTCTTTCCCACCCTTTCCCTGCATCAGCAGGATCCCAGGCCTTAGGCTAAGTGTCCAGAGAATGTCCAGGGGGCTTGGGTTCCAGCTGCTCACATACACATGCATGAATGTACACCCTGCTGTAGGAAAGGGTCCCCAAACAAAACCCCTCCCCTGCTTCCTGATACCACCACTGCAAGCCCCTTTGCCCTCATAGAAGAGACCCTCCCCCATCCCTAGACTCTCCTTCATCCCCTTCAGGAAGCTGGAAAGGAAAAGAGCCGAGAGATGACCCCCAAGGGGAAGGGCTGTGTCCCCCACATCAAACCCAGACTTCTGTACCATTAAGTCCCTTCTTTCCCAATCAGCCTGTGGGCTCCCAGACAATGGAGCCTGGATCCCAGGGTGGCAAAGCTGAAAGACAACCCTTCCTTTGTGTTTGAAGCAGCTCTGCCTGTTTCTAGTACCCACAGTTTCACATAAGCAGCTCATCAGAATTTATCAAAGAAGTGGGAAAAGAGAGATGAGGTATATCTGGCCTAGACTAGAGATTGGGAGACTGAGATTTGACCCTACATCTATGATGGGTTTGCTGTTAAAGCAGCTGCTTTCTGTGCCCACAGAGGACTGCCAAGTACATTGTCCAGAGCTGGACTTGAAAGCAGGAGGATCTGGGTTCAAATCTTCTCTCTGACACTAGTGGTGTGACCTTGGCCAAGTCACTTGACTTTTCTAGACCTTAGCTTTCTTACCTATAAAATGGTTGGGTTGCACTAGGTGGCTCTAAGGGTCCCTCCAGCTCTTAGACCATGACCTGCAGTCCTATAGGTAGACATGAAAGAACGTCAACTCTTCATTTGTAGAAAGTAAGTCACTCCGTTCAGAGAAGGGGAAAATGTAAGGCAGGTTGTTTCATGTTTGTCTTTGTAATCCTAGGTCCTTGGATAGCACCTTGTACTCAGTAGGTGCTTAATAAATGCTGGACAATGAACAAATGAATGGTGGATATTCCTGCTTCTCTGGGAGTCTCACTCTGCGCGATGGAGGAGCCAAGGATGATTCTATCCCTGACACCTCAGATGAGATGAGACAATTCTTTTCTTTGGGGCTTAAGCCTGGGCATGAAGGCAAGAGGGCTTGGTCTGATGGCCTCTTGAAGTCCCTTCCCCAGTTTTCTCATCTGTAAAATGTGGAGATAAATCACAAGCTTGGTACGCAGAAAAAGCACTTCCTTTGCAGTCAAAGACCTGGGTTCAAATCTAGCCTTGGACACTTATGACCTGTGCTACATTGGATGTATTCATCTGGCTTGGATTTCAGTTCCTTTTTTTTGTAAAATGAGGGGTGGGACCAATTTGGGGGTTCTTGACTTATTTGTATCCTGGACCCCTTTGGCAGTCTGGTGAAACCTCTAGACCTTTCTCAGAAGATTGTTTCTAAATGCATGAGATAAAACTCTGACAAAGAAAATCAATTATCATGAAATATGTTAGCAAAACATTGAACAAAAAGCAAATTCTAGGAGGCCCAGAGTAAGAACTTCTGCCCTGGGTGGTCTTGGCAGCCCCTTCTGGCTCTGTGAACTGCCTATGAGCCTATGGGCTTAGTTAGATGGTGGATAGGGTTGCTTCCACATTGGATGAGCTTATGATTTATAATGTGTGTATTCTTGATCGATCCATCAACCCACCCCCTCCCCAAAAGGAAACTGGATTCTCAAGTCTAGAGGAAAGCTGTAGGGTCAGAAGGAGAGATAGCTCTTGGAGGTGAGATCCCTGACAGGTTAACGTATGGATATAGAGGTTTCTGGGACTCTCTGTGTCCAAAGAGGAATAGCCATGGTGGGGGGGGGGAGAAGGGGGCAATGGGACTTAGCCTGCAGTGAGTGAGTGAGTGAATGGGATCTGGGTTAGATGTTGAGAATCCCCCAGATATGTGATACCCAGCACAATTAGGAGAGAGACAGGTCGATACCCATACTGTTGGATAGGCGTCCTGCCTGGACAGGAATGCGTGGGTCACAGAGCTCCCATTTTCCAGGCTCCAGAAATCTCTAGGAGACATTTACATGCATGAACAGAAACACACACACCTGCACACTCACACACACACACACTCCTGGACACTCACACATGCACACACATATTCACATCATCACTCAAACACTCACACAGGCATTACATGTACATACACACAAACCCACAAACATACCCTTTCACACTCACATTTACTCACACACACATGTCACACTTAAACACTCATGCAGGTATTCCATGCACACACACAAGTGCATATAGGCATTATCACATGCACATACACACGAACACACACACTCATATGCACACTCCCAGATGCTCACACATGCACACGATCACACTCATACATACACACACACACACACACACGCACACACACACACCCTCCAACCAGCTCCACACCAGTTTCTACATTTGGATCTCGGAGGGAGCTGACAGATGTGTGAAGTAACAACTAGATGGATGCCTTTGCAGCTGAAGGACCCAGACAGAAGCAACTACTATTTCCAGCCAGGCTCATCAGGAGGGGGTGTGAGAGGGGAGGGGGCAGGGGTGGGGGAGGGAAGGAAGGGGAGATTCTCTCTCTGTCTCTCCATCTCTGTCTCTCTGTCTCTCTCTGTCTCTCTCTGTCTCTCTCTCTGTCTCTCTCTCTGTGTCTCTCTCTCTCTGTTTCTGTCTCCATCCCTCCCTCCTCTCTCCCTCCCTCCCTCTTCTCTCCTCTCTCTGTCTCTCTCTGTCTCTGTCTCTCTGTTTCTGTCTCTCTGTCTCGCTCTCTCTGTGTCTCTCTCTGTCTCTGTCTCTCTGTCTCTATGTCTGTCTGTCTCTCTTTGTCTCTCTCTCTCTCTGTCTCTCTGTCTCTGTCTCTCTCTCTGTCTCTCTGTCTCTCTGTCTCTCTGTCTCTCTCTCTCTCTCTCTCTCTCTCTCTCTCTCTCTCTCTCTCTCCTGATACCACTAAGTTGGGAGTGGCTCTGTTTGCATCTCTCTTCTTCTGCCTCAGTATCTTCCTTTCCACGTCTCAGTGTGCCTGTTGTCTGGAGAACTGTAAAATCATGGGCTGCAAGAGAGCTTCAGTATCATTGAGTCTAAATGTGCATCCTTGGTTCTCAAAGACCACCAATGACATCACAAGGGGGATATCTTGACTTGCACGAGAATTAGATTTAAGTGAGGCAGAGCTTTGAAAAGTCATCCAAATGACTCACTTTGCAAATGAGGAAACAGAGAGAGGTCCAGGGGGGTGATGGAGAGAAAAAAAAAGGCAGAAGACAGTCCCTGCCCTCAAAAAGCTCTCAATCTAATGGGGGATACTACTTGCAAACAACAATGTACAAACAAGCTACAAATGGGATAAATATAACCAACAGAGGGGAGGTGGTAGAATTAAGAGAAGTTGGGAAAGGCTTCCTGGAGAAGGTGGGATTTTGTATTGGATATGAAGGAAGCTAGCAAAGCCAGGATGCAGGGATGAGGAGGGAGGGAATTCCAGGCATGGGGCACAGCCAGGGAAAATGCCTGGAGTCTAGAGATGAGTATCTTGTTTGAGGAACGTCAGAGGCCAGTGTCGCTGGATTGCAGAGTACCTGGGTGAGAATGAATGAGTTAATGGCGTGTTTGTCCTTCATTCTCTTTTCTTTTCTTTCTCTCTTTCTTTTTTTGGCTAGGCAATGGAGTTAAGTGACTTGCCCAGGGTCATGTACTTCATTTTCAAAGAGGACCATTGACATCATGGATGATGTCTTGACTTTCGAGTGAATTGGATGTAAGTGAGGCAGAGCCACACAAAGTTGTTAGCCTCACTTTCCCGGCCATTGAAGTCCAGTGGCAGGACAGAAGTCAGGACAACTGATGATCTCCCGGGATGCAGTGGGTGACCTTGGTGTCTTCCATGGCTGACCAAGCTCTAACCGCTCCACAACACCTGCTTCAGACACCTTCATGGCTGTCAGAATAAATTGTTCTCATCTGCCCATTTCACTGAGGAAAGTCTTCATGTGATTGAGTTAGACATTCCCCTAACTCACCAACTGTTTTGAGACCAGTTAGTTACCCTCCACCTGGTTTAGCCCATCTGGTTTGCCAGGGTGTGACCACTGCTCATGCTACAGCTTCTTGGAGCCACAGGTAAGAGAGGGGGGACAGGTAGACACCAAAGGTGGATGAGCAGCCCTGAAGAGGGCTCTGCAGCCCTCACACCAGAGGTACTAGTTCTCCCTGAACACCCCATACATCCCATGGGTTAAGGTACAAGAAGACTGGGAAGGTAGGGCATCACAGCTTCAGCAACCCAAAGCTGAGAGGGCCCTAACAGGCCATCTACTCCATGCTCCCTCCAGAAGAAAACTGAAGCCCAGGAATGTTAAGTGACTTGCCCATTGACACATAGGTAGGAAGCATGAAAGACAAGATTTGAACCCAGGTCCTTTGACTCCAGAAACTGCTCCTTCCAATGCCCAGAGTTTTAAAGGCAAAAGAGAAGACTGTATCACCTGGAGGTGATGGGGAGACATTGGAGTTTACTGAGCAGGGGAATGACATGGTCAGTCCTGCATTTTAGGAAAGTCACTTTGGCAGCTGAATAGAGACTAGACTGGAGTGGGGAGAGACTTGAGGCGGGCAGACCCACCAACATGCTATTTCAATAGTCCAGGTGATAAGGGCCTGTGCCAGGATGGAGACAGTAGTGGAGAGGAGGGGATGTATGTGAGAGTTGGGACAGCTAGAGTCAGGAAGTCCTGAGTTCAAATCCAGCCTTAGATACTTAGTAGCTATGTGACCCTGGGCAAGTCTGTTTATCACCTCTGTTTGCAACAGTTTCCTCCTCTATAAAATGGGGATAATAATAGTACCTATCTTCCAGGATTGTTGTGAGGACCAAACAGTATAATTGGAAAGTGCTTAGCACAGTGGTTGGCAACAGTAATCACTACATAAATGTTAACTATTATTATTATTACAAAGGAGAGACTGACAGGCCCTGATGACAGATTGGCTATGGGGATTGAGAGTGAGGAGATGAGGAGGACCCTGGTTCTGAGCCTGGATGACTGGGAGGATGGTGGTACCTTCCGTAGGAAGAGGGAACTAGGGAAAGGAAGGGTTTCAGGGAAAAGACAAGTTCAGTTTGGGGTGTGTTGTGTTTAAGACGTCTATGAGATATCCAGTTTGAAATGCCTCCCTAATATGGATCTGTCTGTGCATATCACCTCTGGGTACAAATCTACCATTTATCACCAACAGATGTCCAGAGCCTCCTCTGACATCTTCTCTCCCCTTGCGAAGGGGAGGTGCTGCTGGGCTCTTGAAGGTTGGTCCAGGGGACCACAAATTCAGGCCCATTCTGCCCCTTCCTTCTGGTGAGTTCTGTGGTGCTATCCTGTGGGAGCAGGGGTAGCCCTGGGCAAGGAGCAGGCTCATTCTTAGTGTCTTTCCTTTATAAAGTCGTTTGGGCCCTGAAACTCTTTGAGGGTCACTGCCCTGAAGGCAGCCAAGCCTGGCCCAGGAGCCCAGAACTTAGTGGTCTTCCCTATCCCCTCCCTGGTCAGACCCAACTACTTCCAGATCTATGTAGGAGAATGACTGATCTGACAGTGAGCAGAAAATGATTGGACCAGAGTCTGCCCAGGTCCCCAGGGATCCCGTCAGGTTTGGAAAAGCAGGCACAGGGGAGATGGCTTGGGGATCCTGAGAACCTCCGTGCAAAGCTAGCAGAGGCTGTCTTCTGCCATCCTGCCCCTGGGCAGGACCACATCCAGGCCACGATGTTTGAGGAAGGTGGGTGGTACAGGAAGAGTCATCAGGTTGGACCATGTCATGGTCAGCTTCACCGAACCAAAGCTGAGAGGGCCCTAACAGGCCATCTACTCCATGCTCCCTCCAGAAGAAAACTGAAGCCCAGGAATGTTAAGTGACTTGCCCATTGGCACATAGGTAGGACGCATGAAAGACAATTTGAAACCAGGTCCTTTGACTCCAGAAACTGCTCTTTCCAATGCCCAGGAAATATAAGGTCAGACACAGATGTCTCGATTGTTCCCCACTGGAGATGGGGCTCTGCCTCTAGATCCACTCTGCCGTTTGCCAGGCCAGTTTAGGCCTTGGCTTGCTCAGTTCCAGACCCTTTCTTTCTCTCTGTCTGTCTGTCTGTCTGTCTCTCTCTCTGTGTCTCTGTCTCTGTCTCTCTGTCTCTCTCTCTGTCTCTCTCTCTCTCTCTCCACCACTCTCCTTTCTAGCTCCCCAAATCCTCTTTATATGTGGTCTTCCCAAATTTTAATGTAATTTCCCTGAGAGTAGAGACTGTTATGCTTGGAGTCAAGAAGACCTGAGTTCAAATCCAGACCCTTATTTAGCTATGTGATCTGGGCAAATCACTTAACCTCTGGGCAATTCACTTAGCCTCAGTTTCCTCATCTGTAAAATGGGGATAATAATAGCAGCTACCTTTCAGGGTTGTCGTGAGACTCAAATGAGATAATGAATGAAAAGTTCTTTGTAAACCTCCAAGCTCTCTACAAAGTACAGCTATTACAGTGAGCACTCGATAAATGCCCTCTCTTGTTGCCCTTCCTATGTTGTGAACATTATTAAGCTTCTTGTTGGAAGAGAGGAAACCTTTAAGCTCCCCTTCCCCTTGGTTATAACTGTCCTGCAGAGCTGAATTAACGATTTTGCCCTCCAGAGAGAAGTCTCTGAATAGGCTTCTGCCCACTGAAGAGCTGGGGAAGGGGAGGGTGAAGCCTCCCAGATGTCCCTATCCCTCAGAAGAAGAGACTAACACAGACTCTTGGTTCACTGGAAAAAGAAAACAAAAGCCAGAGACCAATACTTTTGGTCCAGCAAGGCCACAAGCTTTCAGGACACTAGGACCCAGGCCAGCCCTTGGCTCCTCCCCAAAGGCGACCAAACCTTCTAAGCTTTGCCCAGAAGGAGTCATTTGAGAGGATCCTGACCCTCCAATCCTCACCCAATGCCATTGACAATAGAAAGTTACCCACTCAATCCCATGACCCGTTTGAAGACTTTCTCCATTGGCTGGGGCTTGATAAGGGAGGGGAACTCATGCTACAAGCCCTGTTTTCATGCAGTTTGGGGCTCTCAGTTTTCAACTATGACAATACCAAGGTACACTGGCACAAGGCAGGCACTCTTTTCTGTTTCTATATGACTTCTTGGCATTCGTCTATACGTACTATTAACAAAGCTGAGTAGGATCAATTGTAAGTTGGACATTGGGAGGTGAAATTCCAGAGTCCAGCTCCTCTCAATGAGGCATCAGTGTTTAAAAGCCAGAGCATTCCCTCTTTGAAAGAGAATGGTCAATTTCTTCCTCCCTCACTTCCTCCCTCCTTCTTTCCCATTCTTCCTTCTTCCCTTCCATCACTCCCTTCCTTTCTCCCTCCCTTTCTTCCTCCCTTCCTTCCTCCCTTCCTTCCTCCCTTCCTCCCTCCTGTCCTTCCTCCCTTCCTACCTCCCTCCTTCCTTCCCTCCTTCTTCTGTTCCTTCCCTCCTTCTATCCTTCCTTCCTATCTTTTCTTCCCTTCTATCCATCCATCCATCCATCCATCTATCTATCCATCCATCCATCCATCCATCCATCCATCCATCCTTCCTTCCTTCCTTCCTTCTTTCCTCTCTTCCTCCCTCCCTTCCTTTCTTCCTCCCTTCCTACCTCCCTTCTTCCTTCACTCCTTCTTCTGTTCCTTCTCTCCTTCCTTCCTATCTTTTCTTCCCTTCTATCCATCCATCCATCCATCCATCTATCTATCCATCCATCCATCCATCCATCCATCCATCCTTCCTTCCTTCCTTCCTTCTTTCCTCTCTTCCTCCTTCCCTTCCTTTCTTCCTCCCTTCCTACCTCCCTTCTTCCTTCACTCCTTCTTCTGTTCCTTCTCTCCTTCCTTCCTATCTTTTCTTCCCTTCTATCCATCCATCCATCCATCCATCCATCCATCTATCTATCCATCCATCTATCCATCCATCCTTCCTTCCTTCCTTCCTTCCTTCCTTCCTTCCTTCCTTCCTTCCTTCCTTCCTTCCTTCCTTCCTTCCTTCCTTCATCCTTACTATGAGCAAGGTTATCTTGCCAGGCACTAGAGATAGAGACCTGCCCCTGAGAAGTCTTCATTCTATTGGTAGGACATGATATAAATAAGTAAATGCAAAACAATTCCCTTGATGAAGAGAGCAAGCGTTTATGGGACACTCTCTACATGCCAACCACAGTGCTATGCATTCTACAAATATTATCTCATTTGATAAGGAGAGAGCTCAGGTGCCTGTGGGAGGTCAGGAAATGTTTTCTGTAGAAAGTAACACCTGAACTGAGTCTAGAAGGAAGTCAAGAGGGAGGAAGGACAGACAGTATTCCAGCTGTGGGGGAGCCTTACAAAGGCCCAGAGAGAGACAGAAGGTGCAATGCTAGGATCGGCACATTGCAACATTTGGCTGAAAAGTCGAGCTCATGAAGGTAGCTGCGGCCAGGAATGGAGGAGCCCTGTTTGGTGGTTCAGGGAGGGCAAAAGGTAGCTAAGACCTTGGGCATTGTGGGTTTGAAAGAGGAACCCATGACATTAAGTTTAGCTAATTCTGCCAGGGAGGAGTCATTTATGAATGGAAGTGGTCCTGCCCCTAAAGACAGCATTTCAACGCAATTCATATAGTCATTCAGGGACCACAGTATTGAACCGAGGGCCCTACCCTATTGACAATAGAATGTCCCCCCTTCAATCCAACGACCCTCTGGCTATCTCCATGGGTCAGGGCTAGATTAGGGTCTGTGTGTGTATGTGTGTGTGTATAGGCATTTGCACTTCTGTTCATGAGTACGCATGGGATAGGGGTGGGATTGTGTGTCACACAAGAGTCTATCTAGTTCCAGCTGTGCCTGAGAAGACTGACCAAAACCAGCATTCCCAGGCAGGCACCTCAGAAGGGCTGTTCTCTCCCAGTCCTGGAGATGAGGTGTGAACTTTAGCATAAGGTCTTGTTATATGACCCAGGGCAAGTCATCTGTTTGAGCCTCAGTTTTCCCATCTGTCGCCTGGGGATAATAATCACACCCATCTCCCAGGGTTGTTAGGGGACTCAAATGAAGTCATGGACATGAATTGATTTGCAAAGGT